TATATATATATATATATATATATATGTGATTTAACGTTAAATTGTATACCTCAGTTAAATTGTGGAAACCCTATATCTTACTCAAAATAACTAGACTTTTTTAATAAATTTTTTTTAAAAAAAGAATAACTTCAAAAAAAGTATAAAAAAGGAATTTTTTATACATTATAACAAACAGTTTAAAAAAAATAACGAGACAATACATGAATTAACAAGTGTTAACATAAAATTGTATACTACAGTTAAATCGTAAAAACTCTAGATCTTACTCAAAATAACCAGGCTTTTTAAACAAATTTAAAAAAAAAAAAATAACTTCAAAAGAAGCATAATATAATAAATAAAATTTATTATACATTAAAACTAACAGTTTTAGGAAGTAACGAGATTATGTATGAATTCACAAGAAAAGAATAATTTTAAATATGCATACCTTCAAATTCGATATTAAAGCACGACCAATAGAAAATCTCTTTTCAAAGGATAGAAATAGAAATAAAAATGAATCTACGAGCACTCGATGTTCGCGTTTATTTTATTTTCGTTTTCATAGTTTTACAAACGAAATGTAATTTAATCTTTTAAATCAATGGAGAAATTCTACTTCGAGATTAGATAACCTTTACTTGGAAAGCTTTAAAACCAAGAAACATATATTTTCTATCTACAGATTTACAACAGTACAGTACAAGTAGGTATTGAAACGAAATCTATGAATATTTGTCTTATACTTAGGATTAAATTTCAATCTCATACCTAAACTACTCGACCCTTTTAAATTCATATATTATTTAATTGAAGTATGTAATTCTACCTACTTTCATATCTAAACAGATTAGTATTATTATTTCAGAATTTGGCTAGTCGTTTCACAAATTAACGGATTTCATAAAGTAACGCTATAATATACATCCATGTATATTAGGGTAGGTCAAAAAAATAAATTATTTTTTTTTTACAAGTGCCACGGAAAAATGGGTTGCTAGACACCTTAAAAAAATTTTTATCAAATATGAGCTCTTAATTTTAATAGGAAGATCCTCCGCATCGCAGTTTTTTATTTTTTTCTCAGTCCAATAGAATAAAATTCATAGCTCATCAATTCATCATCAAACTTTCATGTGTATTGATTTTTGTCTCTGAATATCTTTTGAACGCTTAATTTAATCGCCGAAACATAAAACACCATTTTTATACAGCAGTTAATTTCCTACAAGAATTTGTATTGTGCATTTTATAATAGTCATTTATTGTCGAATTATAAAATTCATAAACAAAAATGAAATTTGTCTTAAAATAATCAAACTTAAATCTTCAATATCATTCAAATGGTGAGGTTTATGGAAAAAATATAAGATATTTTTTTTGTAGAACATTAAATTTCCTACAAAATTCTTCTAGAACATTTTTCTGTACAATCAATTAATGATGAGGTATGAATTTTATTCTATTGGGCTGAAAAAAAAATAAAAAACTGCGATGCGGAGGATCTTCCTATTAAAATTAAGAACTTATATTTGGTAAGAATTTTGTTAAGGTGTCTAGCAACCCATTTTTCCGTGGCACTTGTAAAAAAAAAATAATTCATTTTTTTGACTCACCCTAATGTATATATTCACCTATAAACAAACTATTCCATGTGTATCTATTCTATATAATTTTTATATAATATTTATATTGGGTAAAAATAAAATAAGAATTATAGAAACAGAAAATATAAAAATATATCTAAAAAATTTCCCAAGGCAAATATATAAGCAGCTACATTAATAGTCTAAATTATTTTCATCAAATTTTATTTTTACAAATTAAACTTGACACAATTAATAGCCTAGAAATAGTACAACTTTTGTGTATCAAGTTCTTGTAAAATAATAGAAAAGGAAAAAAATTAGAAACAAAATTTAATTTTAAATTTGAATGTCTTACCAATCATCAAAAAGGGTGCAGCAAGATTGAGGCCGATGAAATCGACTCCTAGGTACATGCAAAGTCCAAAAGCGGCGACAGTTGCCATACCAGCTGACACGTTCCCAAGAAGGCCAAGCCAGGGTTTACTTCGTACCCAATCAGTCATCATGCAGGTCACCACGGAAAAGAGACCCATCACTGCGAACGTGCTAAAGAAATACGGCACGATAGTTTTCGTATTTGCTTCTAATTCTAATTCCAATGTCCTCGAAGCAAATCGAGCTGTGCTTATGTGTTTAAAAATCCCGCTATCTTCGGCTTCGCCAATTATGTTTAGGAAGGCTTCCTCCCAGGCGGCGCCACTATATTTTTCATTCAAAACAGAAATATTAATAAATATGAGAACGTTTAAATATATTATTTATTAATTTTCATGTTCTCGAAGTAAAAAAACAAAGCAAAAAAGAAACAAAAGAAAAACAACAGTTAATTTTCTGTTCGATAATTAATTGTAATCATTCCATTTTCGATCTGTGGAAAAGATACAGTTGTTGCTACTGTTCAACCATTTATTACTGTATTAAACATCGACACAACAAAAAAATTTAATGTCTCTTATACACGAAGATGCTATTTCCTTTCTCAAGAAAGTTATGTCGCTTCCTTAGTTGGTCCAAGAATTTCTTTTCTTTCTTTTTCCTTTTTCTTTTTTTTTTTTTTTTAATCTNTTTTTTTTTTTTTTTTTTTTTAATCTAACCGACCAGAGCATACACAGTTAGAAATGTATTAAAATCTCTTTATTTATAAGCTAGCTTAACAAACACAAAACAGTTCTGCTTTCTAATTGAGTTTGATATTTTACGAAGAAATTCTTTTCTATTAATTTTATTTAAAAATACAAATAAATATATGTATATTTTGTAATAGAATTGAGTATATTGTTGTTTGACCTGAAAACCCTAAAGTTAATAGTAGAATACATAGAAAGTGAAAACCTTGGTAAGAATAGTGAAATCTGACAAACTTCTTCTTATTCTTATGCTTGTTTCTTCTTTTTCTTCTTCTTCTTACGATTAGGTAACCAAACAGTGTAACATAAATTTGGAAAGCGTCAACGCGAAACGTTTACCTTTTGGTTTCACTCTTCGTTGATATAAGTTCGAAGCCGATTTCCTTTTACGCTATATCTCGAAATGGAATAAATTTTTTGACTGTATTTTGTCACTTACTTATTAGCGCTAAAATATCTTTAATGTAGCAAAGAAGAAAAAAAAAAGAAAAAGAAAAAGAAAAAAAAAGAATAGGAAGTCATTGAACTTACATAGCATCTTGCCGTGGGTTGTCGACGGTGATGAAGTAGGCGAGCTGGACCGAGGGCACTGTTTCGATCGTTAGATCCTCGGTGATGACACTACCACCGAAGAAAACGGGAAATAGATGGGCATCCCATGTCACAGGATTGAACATCACCGGAAATGTCAAGTTGAGCTCCCTATTTTCTACGTCCCTGAACAAGAAAAAAATTCAAACTCCTTCAATCGAAATAAAAAATGTTGGAAAAAATAAACACTGCTTCGATCTCAATTGAACTTAACAACCTATTACCCGCCACAATACGAAAATGCAAAAAAAAATTAAATTAACTGTATAATGATATTCATACTAACCAAATAGAATTATTTTTGCAACAATTGTTTTTTTTTTTTATTTAAACATCAAAATTATTTTGTATCATTAATTATTGATTTAAAATAAAATAGCGAGAATTTTAAATATTTTCATGAAGCACGGGGTACAATCTCATGATTTTAATGAATATATTTCATTTTTAAGTTACAGTTATTCAAAAAAAAAATTTCAAAATGCGTCCCCAAAAAAAGGCCATTGGCGAGTAATGAGTTAACTTGAATTCCAATAAAAAACAAAATTTCCTTTTAAACGTTTTATGGGGTCGATCCACTACTTGGATCTAAACTTTTCAAAACAATTGGTCTTTTTAAATTAATTACTACTTAGATCGAAATAACAATGTATTTTGTAAATTAATTAGTGTTTAACATTTTTTTGCTAATTAGACATTGCATAAATTATTCTATCGATTGTTTGCAAAACAATTTTGAATGAACATGACTTACTGTATGACGTGATAAAGATTAATAATATCATTGTTGAAACATTCGTTCAGCCATCGTGCACAAATTTCTTCGTAAGTATAAATCTCGTCTTCGTATTTAACTTTAACTTCTCGTATTATTCGATCCAATTCCCTTAATTCATTCCAAATAACGGTACGCAGCATATTCGGATCTCCATCTTTCGGAATAATTATTACGTGACCAAATCGACCTAATAACGAATGAAAGGAGATCGAGTTAGTGTTACCAAATAATTAAATTAAATAAAAAAAAGTATATAATATTATTATTTATATATATATATAAACGAAATAACGAAATCGTTGCTTATTTCAATGTCGTTGACAAATCAACTTTCACTTATTTCGAATCTATATTCATACGAATCGTTGAATCGGAACACTTAAAGATGAATCATTTATTAAACCATAAACTCTATTATTTATTCAAAAGTTAATATATACGTTACACAGAGGTTCTCAAACTATGCGCAAATATTTTATTTATTGTTCGCATGGTATAGTTGAAAACTTGTCTTTCTTTTTCTTTAGTTTCTTTTTTGTTTTTTTTTTGTTCGTTTCACGTACCTACCTATATCGATAAAAAATAAGTACCTGGCCTGGTGATACGACCGACGTTGAACTGATGACTATAGTTGACTTTGAAATATTGCTCGACTATAGCCCGCTCGGTCTTGCCTGGACCGTTAACAGGAGAGAAAAGATATTCCGGGTCGATCTCGTAGTGTATCCTTTGATATCCGGTGAAGCAAATGCAGGCCAAAAGGGTGGGTACAATGACAAAATATCCAGGATGACGGCCGACCACAAGGCCGACCTTGTGAAAGGCACGGTTTAGAAAATCGTCGACGCACGTCAGATTGTGCCACATCTGAAACATAAAAAAAATGGAAAACCTATACGCGATATAACAAACGTTCAAGTATATGTAAAAAAGAAGTATCTCTCGTATCTTTTGTTCTTGAAAAAAATCAAGAAACAAAAACAAAACCTACCCTCCTTCCAAAAAAAAAATATATAAAAATAAATATATAATAAATAATAAAATAAATATAATAATAAAAATATAAAAATAATAAAATAAAAATAATAAAATAAAAATAATAAAAAAAAATATAATTAAAAAAAAATAAAAAATATATATATATTTAACTTTCGCGCATTCTACTTTCGCACAATTCGCTATTTCGCACATTTTTAGATTCAACTGTTTAATCTTCTGCAATCGGATGTCTCTTCTCAGGGGCCTACTGTATTTCTATATATATATAGAAAAATAATGAAATTAATTTATGGCAATAAATCGAATAAAACATATAAAACACACGCAAGCACACACATTAACAAAAATATTTTTCAGCTATATACTTTTTAATTTTCTTTAACATTGATGATAAAACGTATTTATCTACAGCTTAAGGATACACATAATTCGTGGCACGCACAAGTCACTACAATGAAATTATTATTCAATGACGCGAGTCATGATTTGCAGGTGTCGAAGGTACGAACAATCTGTTATAACAATCATCCAGACACGAATAATCTTCATAACAAGATCCTTCATGGTATACAATATGACGTCAAAAGATCACCGATATCACGACTACTAACGCTTATTTCAAAGACCCAAATACATTTTGAAATATATTTTCGAGATCCTTGATTTTTGATAACTTGATTATTAAATAATTAATCAAATTTTGTTTCTCAATTCATCTTATGAAAATGAGAGAGAAAGAGAGTTCATATGAAATTATTAGGAAAACGAACAAAAATTATACAAATATTCTAAGCATTTTATTTTTTTTTTTTCAAATATAGAAATATGGCGGACAAATTATAAAATATCGATGAAAAATTATCTTACGTTCTATTATCTTTCTTTTTTTCCTTGATACTTAATGAATATTCTTTAAATTAATTAACTTCTTCAAAATAATTGTAAACAAGTAAAAGAAAAAAAGAAAAATCTTATGAAATACTGACTGACGATTTATTATCGTCTTAAAAAGAAATTACGAGCAAGTTAACGATCCCAAACAATTTACATAAGATTTATCCACAATGAACTCTAACCGTGTTTGAACAAAAAATAAAAGAGAAAATGAACAAGAAAGAAAGAAAAAAAAGAAAAAAAAGAAAAAAAATAATTGGTGTGTTTATTTCTCGATCTTGCACCACCAATCAGGTTCGTTTCTCCATGCATGCTAATGCAAGAATAGATAGCAAACTGTGCACGAGGCATTGCCATTCTACGACAAAGTAGTATAACTGTTCGTTCAAGTCGACGATAAGTAGATAAAAAGTAGTCATACTTTGTAAGGAGAAAGAAAGAGAAGGAAAAGCAAAACTGTCGAGCGTAGATATCGACATCTACGTTTATCGTTCAAGGTCGTTTTATCGTTATATTTAATAAGAAAGGATAATAATTGAAAAAGAATTTTGTTTATCACATTAATGTAAATTAAGAGTTTTCATTAATGGGCTGCCTATTTTGAGAGTGGCCTACCTCCATTTATGTTCGAATCGAGATATTGAAGGGTATGCGTTTCAATGCAATGAAAAATATACGTACAAGATACTAACGAGTTATACTGCTTAAGTGTATCTAAAGACTTTAAATTCATATTTCCTACTAAAATAGAGGCAATTATTATGTGAATAATATGCGTTTTCTAACCACGAATGGAGTTAGGCCATTGTTAATATCAACAATTTGATTTGTTATAAATTTCGAAGGGACCCAATCCATTCAACATAATTTAAGATGCTTCAAATTGAAAAAAACAATACTCAGTTTATTTTACATATCTTTAAAACACTTCTGAAACATAATTTATGCGATTCAAAACATTTTTTAACTACATAACGTACAAAATTATAAATATAACCTACATAACAATTTACTACTCATCTAAATTTTATGTGTGTGAAAGGGATTTGAAGAAATCATGATATTCCGGCGATATATATCGTAATAGGTCAATTATTTCCGTGAATTTGGCTGTTGTAATTTGTCTGATATATTATATAGTCGTGTCAATACATTATTTTCGAACTTTTTTGGTCTACCCCGACGTGGTAATAAATTCAGGACTTTTAAATTTTCATTCTCATTCATTGATGTCTTATAGAAAATTTTATACGGTTTATTTCTGACAAAAAGCATCCACAACATATTTTTAACCAGTTTATTGATTCCTCATCAGAATTCTTTACTCTTTTCAAAATTAAATCTTCTAATAATTTTGTTACTACAAAATCTCGTTATCTCATTTTATTTACAATAAAGTATTATCATATTTACTAGGAATATAAGCAACCTCAAATGCTTTATTGATACATAACATAAAGTTGTACAATAACCAGGTGCAATCAGAAAATAATAAATGACGAATGGAGATAAGCCACTTTAAGCTCACTCAAAATAAACTTTTCATCATTCTGTTGATCAGCAAATTTTCTTGTTACAATATCTTCATGATTTTAAATATATTTGTAACAAATTGCTTCAGAATAGAAAGATCATGTAAAAATGTAACTATTACGGTAGCTAACTCGATTTTTTTGGAAAATGGAGATAGGCCACTTTCAAAATAGGCGGCCCAATATATTATTGAAAATTTATAAACGTATATATTTAATAAGATAAATTTAAAAAAATATGATTTTTATAAGTGTTATATTATCATATTGTAATATATATTTACAGTCTCTTCCAATTTTTAATTTTTTCTATAAAATTTTATCAGCATATTATATATATATATATATATAAAAATATGACCATTATATAGTATATATTACAGATGATTTATTTATCTTCTCACTTTTCTTTAATAGTAGTCACGGCACGAGCACTTTAATTACGTAGAATTAATCATTTTAAAAGGATTTATTTACTTTCTACTATAATTTTTTATAACCCTCTACTCTCATTTGTTATTGTTTCTATCTCCATTCTACTTGCATCAACATCATTTTATGATACAAAATGAAACGAAATGAAACGTCGGAAATACTTGCTTCACGCTTCGTAAATAAATGAAATAGAAATTTCGTATTTATAAATAATTAAACAATCACAACAAATATATTAAATTTGAAATTATAAATAATAAATAAACACAATGTAGAAAACTTTTATTAAATGCTAATAATATATATATATATATATATATATAAAAGAAATTTTATTTATAAACGCAGACATAAAATTTACTAGTAACTTCGAATACAAGAAATTATAGTACTTGAGATGTAATATCACGTTATTTCGCGTGCTTCCTTTTCCACGAACTTTTCATACTGACATTTCGAGCTGTCAGTTTTAAAAGAAGAGACCCTGGAAATCCTTAGGAAAGTCTTTAACGAGAAGATTACTGGTACTGTTATGAAATAATTGTAGTTCGAAGATACGAGGACCTTCATCAAAGTATTCTACAAACTAATTCCTTCTACTCTATATTTAAAAAACAATAAATAAATAAAAACAAATAAGAGACAAATAATAATAATAATAATAATAATTATTATTATTATTATTATTATTATTATTATTATTATTATTATATAATAAAAAATCTAACAATATTTCCATTATAAATTTTACGAATAAAATCATTTCTACTAAAAAAGGAATAAGGATAACATTAACAATAAAAAAAAATTATAAATGAAATATAATTATTTAAAAAAAAAAAAAGAAAATATAAATAAAATGTAAAATTAATAACACAACGGAGCAATATATTCGTAACGTTAAAAACGTAAATGAATAAAATAGGAAAAAAAATGAAAATGATAATTAGCAGAAATATGATAAAAATTTAAATTGACGATTTCATCGACGAAGAAACCAAACGTTTCTATGAACAACGATATTATTACTTAAAGGCAGAGACGAGCTTGACACTAAAGATACAATTTATGGCTTTAATGATGGCAATGGCAAGCTTCCGCTCTATCAAACGTACCCTTCCTGGACGCTCGATAACACACTCCCTGAATATTCCCTTTCTTCTTTCAATGACTTAAGTTAGAAGAGAAATCATTTATGAGAATGCTATAAAAAAAGAAGAGAAAAGAAAGAAAAGAAAAATAAATTATTTACATGCTATCCGTAATTGTAGTTTGTCCAATGACGAATTCCAATGATATTATTTTCCTTTGTTATACCAATAACCTAATTTACGGAAGATACTCCAACGATTAATAATTCAACAACATGATCAGATTTAAACAAATATTTGGAGATTATTTGAGTAAATACTATGTTTGTGTTTTGTATTTATTGATTATCAATGTTTTATTGATATAAGCAGGTTTAAAAGTTTGTATATTCTTTTTCAAAATTTATTACCCTTTTTCGAAGTAATTTAAACGTGTAATTTAATTGATACTTTTAAAAAGCTAAAATTGTAGGGTTTTTTCTTTTTTAAATATAATTGTAAGATATAATTAACATTATAACGGTTTTTAAAAAACTTACAAACTTTTGACCAATCGAAAGTATTATTATACTTGGATAATAAAATTATAAAGTTTCTAATATTATCCCCATTGTTCAATCAAAAATAAAGAGGAATTATTAAAAAGGGAAAAGGGTCTTCAAGGCAAAAGTTTTTACAATGTAATTTAAGTTAACATGAAATGTAAAGTTATTTATAGTACAAAGGAGTATGATTATTTTAAAAATTCGATCAGAAAGATTAAATAAGATGAATGGCTTAAAGTCAAAGTAAAAAAGATGAAAGGGAGGATGAGTAAGGGTTATTAGGCTATATGTATAATAGCATAACAGTTCACTGCTGAAACGAGAATAAAAATGTCGACGGACTTGACCCAGATTTATTGACGATTACGTGG